ATACTTACGGATTAGCAGTCCAGCTCTCTATCGCTACTTAAATGTACCAGGCAAAAAAAAAAAAGCTGCAAAGCTATCGAGTATGAAAAAAAAAGAAAATGGAAGAAAATGTTTAAAGATTTGTAAAATTTTCTTAGAATTGCGAGTCAGCATAAAACGAAAACGACCGAGTTTACAGTATGTTCCCAGTCTCTAAGAGGACATTTAAGAGGATATTTAAGAGGACATTTAAGAGGACATTTAAGAGGACATTTAAGAGGACATTTGAGATGAAACTTGAGAGGATATTCGCCACAACGTTTCATTTTATTTTTGGTTGCGTTCTAAAAGTTGCGTGCTAGCTCTAAAATACGGACATCCTCGATCAAATTTCCCAGTAAAGTTCGCCTCCAATCAAAAGAGTTGATCTCAGTGTAGATAAATATGTTTGGTTAAGAACACTTTTAGAAACCCGCGACTAATGGATTAACGATTTGGATTGTGTTAAATAATAATATTTATTAAAGTACATTTAAATAATTTGATAGATCTAAACTTGAAATAGAAATATTTACTTGAAAACGATACTTTGTTCATCTTTGCGGTGTCTGACAGTATAATTTATCTTTTAAATAAAAGAGAGTTTAATTGTTTTTGTTTTGAGATAAAGACAATTTTTATCGATGATAAATTAAAAGTTTTTTTTAGATAGCAAAAAGAGTTATGAGAAATTGAGCAATTTTGTTTATTTTGGAGAACTCTGGTAGTATTTAAAAAAAAAAACAATTATCTTTCCAATGAAAAAAGTTGAATTCAAATAATAACTGAGCCACTAGATTTCATGACGAACATTGGATCCAAACATTGTTTAAGAAATGAAAACTGGACCATAAAAATCCATCTCCTAAAGACCAGATTTCTTCCTTTTCTATACACCTCTGACATTTTAATGTAGCATTCCAGATATAATATATTAGACTTATTCATGTAGGAAACCTTATACATATTTAAAAAAAAATTCATAAACATTTAAAATCGAAGAAAAACTTGACAGGAAAGGAAAATGACATCAATAATTTAAGGGAAATGTTAAGAGTGTTTTTGAGTTGAAACACGGCCGCCATATTGAGGGTACGGCTACTTAAGAGGAAGAAATCAAAACAAAGTGGACGCGCCAATTATGGCGGATATTGGAAGAGGCTGGTCGGCGTAAAACGACAAAAACGTCTGATATTTTTGCTTTGATTTTATTTCTTTAAAAAAAACATTCTAAAATTTTTAAGAAATTGAATTTTTTAAAAATATTTTTTTCTCAGCTAAAATAGAATTTAAATTTTGCATTAGTTGAAAGTACAAGTCGAACAAGAAGATAATTACTGTATTTTAATAAATTAATTGATTTTCATAGCTTTTAAGTTCCTTTAAAGTTTTTTAGTCTGTGCTATTACAGACCACGGACAATTTGAACTTCTTTAAATTGAAATCCTAGATAGAGTACAGTAGCATATGGTTTAAGCTTGAGAATTTGAACTTAGTGCAGAAAACACGCCAAGAAAATAAATCAATGTATTGGTTTTATCCAGCTAATGCTTACAATTATTCAGAGGCGTTACCGCAGATTTGCTGAAAGAAGTCGGATGTTTGAGAAAAATAAAATGCTGCTCTAACTGAGCAGAACCTACCTCCTTAAGCGTGGCCTCGCGGTGGAGCGCTAGACTGCTAACCCGATAGTTTCGAGTTCGAATCCGGGTTCAAGTTAGTGGAACGTCCCTGAGTCCACACAACTCTGATGTGTACCTAACTCACGTTAGGGAAAGTAAAAGGCTGGGCATAGGGCTGACCACATTATCCCTTTATATGCCGAGGTCTAGAAACATATGAACTCCATTTCATCTGCCCAATGGATCGTTAGGTGTAAAGAAGAATCTTTAATTACTTTTACCTCCTTCTAAGTATGCCTGAGTTTAGGTTTCTCAGTTTAGAATAACACGTAAAGACAACTGTGTTCGAAACTTGCTGCAACTCGATCATAAAATAAGTACAACATCTTAACAGCTCAATTTAAGATTAGATCAAAACTAAAGACACATAATAAATAGGCGGAAACCCGAAAACCTCTACTTCAACTACCCAAAAGTGGGATTCTCCCACAGTTATACTTCTTCTTCAACCAACGAATCAATATATTAACCGAATTTACAAAAGATAAAAAACAACAAATGTATCACATAACCTTTACGTCAGCAATTAACCTCTGTGGACTCCTTATACAATTTTTGAGACAGTAAGAATATGTTTAATTAATTTCTTTTAAAAAGGATCTGCTATATTGTGTTCATGCGGTTATTAATAACAAATGAAGATATTAATAGCCGTTATTTGCTGCTGTTGGAAAATGAAAAAAAAACCCACAATTTTGTGTAATGCTTTGTGTAGATTAAAAAAATAGATTGTTTTATTCATTAGTTTCTTCTTCTTTTCATCTTCTTCTGCGTTATCAATTTTAGTGTTGGAAGATATCCCCTCCCACACAATTACGTAAATATGTCGACTTTTTATGCGCCATATAGACCGTTGACTCCGATTTCAGCCTGCTTTTCTTTTTGGATTAGCTTTCATAGCCTTTGTCCAACCAAGAACAAACTACAAGGAAGTAGTTATTTAATTTTGGTATTGTCTCTCCTAGAAGATTTGTAGTCCCCTGCTGTCGAACCTCTTCTTCCCCAGGGTACGAACTCGAGGCTTTTCGGACCCCTTTATTAGTATTTATAAACTATTTTTAAAAATTAAAACAGAATACACATTACAGGAGCCATAATTAATTATGTTGGTCATCAGAAGGCCTCTAAGCCTGGTCATGTTATAGATGAATCTATAAATCGTCTCATTCACTAGCCTACCCCTAATGTTTAACCTCACATTATTTTAAACTAGGCATGCTGCCCAGCTTCGCTTAGGCTTTCGAAAACATTGAGAATTTGCATGCTTAATTAATTCGCCAGAGGGTCGGTCTACGACCTCAAGAGTTATGAAGAGGTTCCTCCGTGGACATTTTTTTTCGATTTATAGCTCATATAATGTACCGGTCAGTCGAGGTCAGTTTTGACCCCCTCATCGTAGACTTTTCGGCCAACCGGCCCCCGTGTTCTGTCGCCCCAAGGCAAGATCCTGCCAAATTTGAAGCGCCTGCGGCGCCGGGAAGTGCCCTATCGGACACCCGACAATCTAGATCTAGATCTAGATTCCTAAAAGAATTTTTTTTTAAAGTTTAGCCAGAGCATAATAAAAAAAAATACATTAACCAAGTTGACTTGGCGTGTCTCGAACCCGCACCACCTGCGTGGTTTAATGTACACTAACATCTTCGCTATTTAGGCACCTTATAATACGGAGAATACGGAGAATGAAATACGTATTTTAAAATCTTAACTTACGCGAATATGCCTATTCTTTCAAATTAATTTTTTTTATCCCAAATTAGCCAGTTCCAAACAAAGATTTTGAATAAAATAAATAAGTCTTGAAATAGTTTAGTCCTAATATAGAAATATATTTTTGGAATTGATTTTAGAGAAGTTAGAGTCTAAGTCTAGATCTTAGCGTCTACGTCTAGATCTAGTTATTGCGTAGATTTAGATTTAGTCTAGATCTAGAATCTCTAGATCTAGAATCCAAATACATAAAATAAATTTTATGAGTTTAGGCCGGAAAAATTGTATTGTATACATTTCATAGTGTACGTAGATCTAAATCAAATTTGAATGAAATAGTTCATTTCTTTTTATTCTAAACACGGCAGATGACGTCATTAGTTAATGTATAAGCATTAGTGACGTCACAGTTTTATGCGTTCTTTTTCACATTTATTAATGCTTTTCCGGTTGCATAAATAATACTGTTTCTCTACATTCGAATACGCCTTTAATTTTTATTTTTCTTCTTCAAATAAAATTGTGGTTATACATTTAATACATCTAACATATTTTTTTCAACAAAAGTCCGTATAAAGTTCTCCATATATCGCTGCCGTTTCTGACGTGATGTCCGGCGAAAATATTTTGCGGACAGACAGAGAGAGAGAGAGAGAGAGAGAGAGAGAGAGAGAGAAGAGCGCACATGGCGTTTTATATATTAGAATATAGATCTATCTGCTATGAGGTACACTTTAATATTTATTTATTTTTTTTTTTTTTAAGAACAAGGCTTTTAATATACTCACAATCAAAAATGAAAAAAAAAATTTTACCAAAAAATAAAAAGTGTTTGGTGTTACCTTACTTAATAAGCCGGTATGGCTAAAAATAAAATCCCGTACTTTCTATATCAAAACATGAGACCTATGATCGACGTTGATAATTTACTAGAGCAGGGGTCGGCAACCTTTTGAAGCGGAAGAGCCAAAAGTTACAATTTTCAAAATTTCCCTGGTTTTAAAGAGCTACTAACATTATTTTTATTTCAAATATTTTTTTTTTTTATTAAGATTATTAGTATTTGTTCAGGGAGCTGGAGAGCCGCATCTTGATATCAAAAGACTTTAATATTAATAAGGAAAAGTAGAAAGTACATAGTAGGCGTACAAATAAATACAACTATTATGTACTTTATAAATTGCCTGAATTATTACATAAACACTAAGGGTATTCTTAAAACACTATCTACAATAGAAAATACATTACATCCCTATGCTTCTAAAAAACACCTACATCTTATAATAACTAAAATTTTAATCCTAGCGATAAGAAAAATCCTCATTAATCCTAATCAAATATGACGATAAAAAAATACAAGGCCTAGCTTAACCCGGCTTCAAACTCAAATTGAGTTATTTCCCCTGAAAACATTTTAAGGCTAGTTAATACCGCGTTATCTCCCCGCGTCCAAAACTTCTTACGATTGTTTAGAAAGAGTTGCTTCGCTTGCAGCGTTCAGCGCTGGCAGTTTTATGTCGTCGTTTAAAAAAAAATTACAGGAGAAACGGTTGGCCAGATAAAGATGGCGGTTACACAAAAACTACTTACCGGAAGCCAGGCAAGCGGCAATGACGCAAGAGACTACCAACAGAGCAAGAATGACTGACTTCATGGTTGACTCAGAATTCTGCGGAGATCATTAAAAAAATATAATTAATGACAAAAGTAATCAGGAAATACAATTATAAAATTATATTAGAAAATTAAAAATTAATTTTAAAGCTATTTGTTTTATTTTTTTTTTCTGAAAATGAGAATCACATAGATTAGAATCTTTGGTTTATTTTTATAGAACGCCGACATGCTCTAGTAAATTAAACGGATAGTGAAACAAACAACAAAGTAGCTACTATTTTACCATTCGATTGAGTTTCGAGATATATTAATAACATTTTTTTTTAAAATAATTGTGAAAAGCATAGTTTGTTTTTGCATCTTGATATCATGGTAACAATAATAGCCGTTTAACTTTTTTTTGATAGCATGGTAAAAATCATACAGGTTTATCTTTTTAACAAGATTGAAAACGACGATTGTGATGGGATTAAAGGATACATTAAAAATACTATCGCTGTGTGTTAACTATTTTAAAACTGAGAATAACGACAAGCATGAACACGTTTGGTGATCGATTTTATCTAGGAACTTTTCTTTGTCGTCTTGTTTTTGTGACGACACCGTCTAGAAAAGTCTGAGGAAAACCCACGCCCAGATTTTAATTACGGCAAGCCATATAGACGCCAACAGGAGCGACAAAAACATTTTTGTCAGTGAGTTTTTTTTCCCCGTGTGAATCCCTCTCTACATCCATACGACGTTTGTTCTCTCGTTGGAAATATGTGTGAGTTCGAGGTCTAGACTGGCCGGAAATGGCTTTTCGATCGGTAAATACGAAACGTCTGCAGTGGAAGCAAAGCTACATTTCTTTTCGTCGCCGCGAAGTAATCTTTGGTTTTTGATCCGGGACTTGGTTTGTGTGTTAAAGACGATGCGTTGATTACGTGAAATGCATACTTTGATTGATAGTAAAAGATAAATCTCGATTGTGCAGAAGTGGCACACTGGCCTTTGTGAGGGGGGGGGGGGGGGATACATTCGTAACTAGCAGCGGCATACACATACACCGTATACAAAATGTGACATAGATGTCTATTTATACAATCAATTACAATGTTAGATGGAGTCTTTGATAAAATTCCATTCAAATAATCTTGAATGGGGAACGTGTGTGATATAAATACTACGTTTGTATCATAAATCACGTTTTTAAAAAAAAAACATATAATGTCTGTAACATAAACGTGATGTATGTAGCATGAATGACGTCTCTAACATGAATTACGTATATAACCGTAGAAGGCAACAAAAAAGCCACCCCTTATTTCAAAACGTCATAATGTTACAGCTCTCTAAATATAAATATAATTTTCTGACGAGTTTTGCGAGGCTTTCATCAGGATACACTTTTCATCGCCTTATTTTACATAGCAAATCATGATAAACTGTGGGCTGACTGGCCCAGCGGTAGAGCACTAGACTGCTAACCCGAAATTCGAGTTCAGATCCGGGTTCAGAACGTCCATGAGTCCCTTCAGCTCTAATGGGTTCCTAGTTCAAGAAATATATGAACTCTACTTCATCTGCGCAATGGATCGCTTGGTCTAAAGAGGAATCTTTACTTTACAAAATGATAAAATTCAGTATTCATAGAACTCTTCGCACCAAATTATCTGACGTCATTTAGGAGTTTATTTTTAAACTTATGTATATTAAGCGTGGCATAGTCTCATGCCAAAAATACCTAAACCAATACGAAACTCTAAAACCAACGATCAAGCCGTCTTTTATTGCAATCAGATCCCCATTTGAATTTATATAAACTTAACCCAGACCTTAACTTTTCATCAATTTCTCCAAAGTCGAGATGAAATGATTTTACTCCCCAACACCATTCCTCAGAAGCCTGTTTGTCATTATACATTCAAATACCGTGCAAGTAGAGCAAATATTCCCTCATTACATATGCTTAAAATGGTAACACTAAGACGTCGAGACAAAAAAGGCATAGGAAATAAAGCTGCGTGTATGATTGGGGATTTATTTCTTGTGGGGGGTCTAACGATGCCATACATCATACGTTCGTCACACATACGTGCTCTAAAATGTGGACCCACATACTTCTCAACGCGGAGTAATTCAGTGTGTGTGTGTGTGTGAATAGGGGGATCTATTTCTTGGTTGTGGCTTACGATGATGTAGGTTTTATTTACGTAACACAATAACGCTCTATAGGGTAACTTTACACCACGTAGCACCGAGTACCGAAAACAGTATGGTGTCTTACACCCCCCCCCTTCCTCCCTCAACCCAGTGAGTACATATTATAGTATGACACGGGAATCCTCCTCACCCCAGCAATGAGTACCAACCACAACTACAAAATAGCACCTACCACCCGGGCACTGAGCAGTGACCACAAACACAGTATGGTACCCCTTCCCCCCCCCCCCCCCCCGCCCAACCCCAGCAGGAAGTACTGACCACAAACACAGTATGACACCCCTCATCCCAGCAGGAAATACTGACCACAAACACAGTATGGTACCCCTCATCCCAGCAGGAAGTACTGACCACAAACACAGTATGACACCCCTCATCCCAGCAGGAAGTACTGACCACAAACACAGTATGACACCCCTCATCCCAGCAGGAAGTACTGACCACAAACACAGTATGACACCCCTCATCCCAGCAGGAAGTACTGACCACAAACACAGTATGACACCCCTCATCCCAGCAGGAAGTACTGACCACAAACACAGTATGACACCCCTCATCCCAGCAGGAAGTACTGACCACAACCACAGTATGACACCCCTCATCCCAGCAGGAAGTACTGACCACAAACACAGTATGGTACCCCCTCCCCCCCCCCAACCCCAGCAGCGAGTTCTGACCACAAATTCAGTATGACACCCCTCATCCCAGCAGGAAGTACTGACCACAAACACAGTATGACACCCCTCATCCCAGCAGGAAGTACTGACCACAAACACAGTATGACACCCCTCATCCCAGCAGGAAGTACTGACCACAAACACAGTATGGTACCCCTCATCCCAGCAGGAAGTACTGACCACAACCACAGTATGACACCCCTCATCCCAGCAGGAAGTACTGACCACAACCACAGTATGACACCCCTCATCCCAGCAGGAAGTACTGACCACAACCACAGTAAGGCACACCCACACCCGCGCCCTGCACCGACCACAACCACATAATGACAAATTAACATCTCTACCCCACTGAATAATCTAAAGCAAAATTCGAGTAGATGCCAAAGAGAAACATGTTGGAAGGTGTTGGGTAAGAGCTGGGTAATATTCTAAACTGCTGAGTTTTTCAGTTTATAAAACAAACTGATAATTCTACAGAGTCAGCAATTCTGAGAAAAGGTGATACAAAAATTAAATGTTCACTTTAAACTTCTACGTGACCTTCCAATGTAGCAAACACTTTAGATCAGCGGTTCTCAACCTTTTTGGAGGTACCAAACCCCACCAGTTTCATAAGCGCATTTATTGAACCCTTCTTAATCGTCCGCACTGACAAAATCCGATCGTGAATCACGTTAGTGTGTCTTGACCTAAACCGAACCCTTGAGACTGACTCACCGAACCAGTGTTTCTTCCAGACTTTTTTCTCCGGGGGGGCACTTGAAATTTTCGGGGGGGGGGGGGGCGGTAAACTTTCTTCGGGGGGGCGGACACTGTTAAAAGTATATATTTTCTATATAAATTATATAAATTTCATTTCGTTCGGGGGGGGCGGTAAAAATTTTTCGGGGGGGCGAAGCCCCCCCGAAGAGATGCCTGGAAGAAACTCTGCACCGAACCCCAGGGGTTCGATCGAACCCAGGTTAAGAACCCCTGCTTTAGACAGAGACTTTAAGACCCCTGCAATGTTTTCACAGTTGATCTCTTAGAACTTATTGAGTTTCGCTTTTTGGAAGAAGGAGGAGTTGCGTTAAAAAAAAGATGCAAGGTTTAAACACCAAATGTTTAGTTTAAGAAGATCATTGACGCATCAAGATTGTTTTCTTTGAAGAATAGAACTTGTAAATACTGAAAGCAATGTCGAGTTTTAGTTTAAAAGTCCAATGCTGCGTTAAAAAAAATTGAAAATAAAATAAAAACAAATACTGTTTAAAGCCACGAATAGAGGAGAATTGTCTTTCTTTCATCCACAGTAAAATCGATGGCGAACAGGTCCGTGCGATCACTTCATGTAGGATATTGGGTAAAATGAGATTTTTCTCCCCATGACGTCACAACCACGTCTTATGTGGGGTTTCTTTCATCCCGGCTTAAGTTTACTCAGCGCCTGACGTCATTAGATGGTCACCGATGTTGTTGCAGTGTCGCACAATTTACCACGGGGTGAGTGCTCGCACGTGCACATTGTTTTTTTTTAACAAGTTTTGTCCCAATCACTTTTGACTTTGACCTTATTTCTTCTGCCTTCAGATTAATATGCCTGGTTTATGTTTAACGCTTTGTACCCATAAGAGCTGAGTCAACTCGGGGACACGAACATGATCGAAATTTATCTTATAGTTCAGGGATGGGTTTGGGGGTTAGATATGGTTATATTTTAAAGTTTGAGATGGGTGGGAGGGGGGGGGGGGTGGTTAGCATTCCTTTTAACTTCTGGAACTAAGAAGAGCAGGTAAAAATATGCAGGTTATTTTAACTTTAATGAGAAAATAAGTTCTCCGGAAAATGTTTCAAATTGTTGAGGGTTTGAGAGTAGGGTTTGTGTTACTCAACTTCTCTAGCCCCACTTTCTGTGCTATGTCCATAGTACAGAACCAAGACCTACGGGTTGGTAGCTCTGTGCTCTAATACTCGACCAAGTCCCCTCTAACTATATTTTAGGCGATAAAAACACCTTGATTAAAATCCCTAATTTTATTTTTAGTTTCTGAATTAATTTTAATTAATTCTTTCTCGCAGTGTCTAAATTTAGACTTTGTGTGAAACTGATCTGAGCTTCAACAAAAACAAACAAGCTGGGTGTGTTTATTTGCCAGCTGTTTTTTTTACAATAATTTTAAAAAGTGAT